GAGGACCTACTGTGCTTCTCCAAACAGGATATAAAGTTGTCTGTGATTATTTTATCGTTGTGTTGCTTTGAGGCTAGATTGTTCCTATTTTTTATGTGATTATAAAAATAGTACATGTTCATTAATGAGTGTAATACATGTATACATCAATGATACGTGTAAAGCTTTAGAAAGGACAGAGAAGTACAAAGAAGCAGGGAAAAAAATCCTTCATCATACCACCCTCAGAGAGATGTTTGCTTTTGGGTGTGTTTTCTCCCAGGTTTTCCTGTAAGCATTTTTTTAAAGAGATAAAATCATAGTGAACTTACACATATATTCTAATTTTTTTTTTGCTTAAAGTTAATGATTTCTGCATGTCATTTAAAATGACTTCATAGATATGACGTTTGGGGCCACATAGCCCCACCCATCATTTAGTACCACCACAGCAGTTCCAAATTCTCATCCAGAAAGGTGCTTGACACCAATGACCAGCCCAAGGCATTAGTATTAGGTATATTTTGTCAACTTGATAGGTTAAAAAATAAGGATTACATTACTTTCATTTGCATGTCTTTTGTTACTAGTGAGATTAAACCCACACCAAAATTGTCTTATGATTATTTTTTGAAAAGGTAATGTATGCATGTATAAGATTCAAAAAGCACAAAAGGGTGTGGAAGTGGAAAGTAAGACTCCTCACTGTGTCTGCCAACTGCATCCTTATCTTCCTGGAAGAGAACATTGAGTTATAGGCCTTGAAATTATATATTATTAGATTTAAGCTTTTATACGTTTGTTAGCATTTATAGGTCTGCTTTTGTGCACTGTTTATATCCTTAGGTCGAGGGTTATTCCTCTCCTTTGACAGGTGAGGAAACTGAGGCTTCAGGAGGTAACATGCCAGGAGTTACGCAGTGAATGGTGGAATGTAGGCTCTGGGTGGGGGGGTCTGTCCAGGAATCTTTGCAGACAGGTGCTGCTGGGGAGGAGGCACCTGCCTGTGTGGTTATGAGGGCTCTGGAGAAAGTGGCCACCTTTGGGCCAGTGTTAAAGGAACGTGGCAGCTGCAGGTGTGTGTGGCTGAGAGGCACTGGGAACGCCTGCTTATCCAGAAATTTCTCCCTTCTCAAACTGGTGCTGTGGCCTGAAATCTCCCAAAGGCTGCTCAGCAAGTGGGGACCACTGGCTCCTCAGTGAGGACTGGCAGTTTCTGAGAGGAGCCCTATCTAGTCCAGCCTCGGCCCGGCCTCCTCTGGCTCTCTGCTTTTTCTGGCTCCTCACACCCCACCCTAGAGCACCTCAGACCCCCTGGCCAGTGCTCACCGCCTCCCCTGAGGCACAGGTGGCCATTTTAGATGAACAGACTGTCAGTTCTTGAGCCCTCAGGACTGCAGAGTCTGCTAGCCCTGAAGAAGACCATGTATAACTGTTGGTTGAAAGAATGCCGTTCTTTGGGAGGTATGAGTAACAGATCATGGGTAAGATATTTTGGGGGCAGGGAGAGACCCCTGTTGCCTTTCACGTCACACCCCTCCCTGCCCTGTGCCCATTACTAACATTCCTAGAATTCTGTATCCTGAAACTCATCTCTTGGGGTGAGAGTTTGGGAATAGCTCTGTGTCCACAACCCGTTCTTCCATCCCAGGAGGGTTTGACCCAGTGAGCAATCTGCAGGGTGTGCCCAGCTGCCCTGTCTCCTGTTTCTTCCTCTTTCCTGGGACAGCAAAAACCTCCTGCTCTAATTTTCCTCAAGGGGGACCCTGGGGAGGGGGGGATCCCAGAGTTCTGGAACCTAAAGGCACCCGAGTCAGCCCCTTTTCCTCACTCCACTTGCTTAAAGGACGTTGGGTAAGGCAATTTTATATCAGGTTTAGATATGCTGCTTCTCTAGAGAGCACTATAAGTGGGTAGGGATGACACACTCACAGAGAGGCCGGCAAAGGGGACCAGGGACTCAGGGCAGAAAGAGCTGTGCCAGAGCAGTTATGAGAAGAGTTCTAACTTGGTTCCGAGGCAGCGGGCCCAGGGGGCTCGGGAGAGAAGGCCCTTTAGCTGGGCTTTAAGGTTGGGTGGGATTTAGGTGAGTGGGGGCATGGGGTGAGGGGAGTGGGAATGCTAAGAGCTAAGGTGGGAGAGTTGAAATGCCACAGTGGCTCACGGAGCAGATGTTTGCACTGGGGTGCTGGCAGAGCTGCAGGCAGCTGCTGGAAGGGCCCCTGAGCTGAGGGTTTGGAACCTTGTCCTTTGGCATTGGGGATTCTTGGAAGGTTCTGGAGCAGAGGAGGGGTGTTACTGGCATGCTTCTTAGGAAGCTCTCTCTGATGGCCCTGTTCAGGCTGGCTGGGCAGGGAATGCATGAAGATCTGGAAACAGTTGGAGGTGGCTGCCCTCCTGTCCTCTACTGACCTGAAGAATGTAGGAATGACAGCGGCTTCAGTCTCCCCTGCAGAGCCCGAGGAGGCCACAGCCTGACACATGACCTTCCTCGGAGGGGGCTTGTGAGGATGGGAGGCAGATGCCATTTCATCCTGAGGCCCCTGGCCAGCCCTCTGGTGATCTGGGCTGCACGCTGAGCCCCACTCTGTGCCTGGAGTCCTGGGCTCTGGCTCCTGAGGAAACCCAAGCGTCCACAGTGCCCAGTGCCCCACACCCACAGATTCAGCCTCTTTGGCTCAACCTGCCTGGTGATTCCCACATCTGAGTGGGCACTTGCTGACGCCTGTCCCCAGGCCCACCATATGCAATGGCAGCTGGTGCAGTTACCCACACACTGTGAATGGAGAGCTCCAGACGCAGCCACCACCCTGCGCCCCTGTAAAATCATCTCTATTGGCCTCTTCCAGTGCCACAAGTCCCATGTTAGAAATCTGTGACTTTGGATCTTTAATCAAAATGGGAGAGGATCTCAGAGATTATTTAGGCAAGCCCCTTCATTTTACTATAGTCCATGATTTGTGTTATATAAAAACTTCATCGCTAAATGATCTACAGCAAAGGCAGCAGCTCTAATAATATTAAAAATATTGGATAATGGAAAAGTCTTTTTTTTGTGTGTGTGGAAAAAGTATAGGACTATGGGACAAAAAGGGAGGAGGAAGCAAGGGTCTTGCTGTTTTCTGAATGGACTAAGAAATGGACACATTTGACTCTGGCTTCAGGCTCTGTCCTGTGAGTTGTGCCTCTTCCTCTCCCGGGCCAGCTCCCCTCTGCCGTGGAGCCTGAGTGTGAGAAGAGAATCAGGGTCACTCAGCAAAGCATCGATCAAGCACCTCATGTGAGCAGCCTTCGGCTAGATGGGCCCTAAGGGGCCTCCTCAGCCCAGTCTGGCTGGAACTCAGGCTCACAGGCCTGGGAGGCGATCTGGACTTCCCAGGAGGGAGGTGGGTGGGCATCGAGGAGCCAGCTCAGCTCATGATCCTCTCAGTCAAGGACTCTAGAGACATGGGCCAGTTCTCCTCACTTGAAAGATGGGAACAGAGAGTTGTGGAGACTTGCCGAAGGTCCCTCAGCTCCTTTGTGGCAGATATGGGTGGGCCAGACAACCATCGCTATCCCGTTCCCTTAGCTTAGAGGCTATTTATTATTAGGGTTTTATTAAAATTTTTTTTTCCTTTCATCTGTCTCTTTTCCCCTGAGTTCCTTTTTATCCCCTGTTTGTTTTATTCTCTGCCTTTCAAGTTAAAGCTTTTCTTACATGTCAGGGGTCTTTAACGGCTCGTTCATATTTAAGGGTAAACCAGTCTCTAGAAGGTTCCTTGGAGCTCTGTGCAATGGGCATTGTCTAACAACAGTGCTTCCGCCCTAAGTGGGGAGATTTTGCTGCCCAGGGGACACCTGGCAGTGTCTGGAGCCATTTTTGATCATCACAGCGGGAGGGTGGGAGATGGCGTGCTACTGGCATCTCGAAGGTAGAGGCCCTGGATGCTGCTCCACATCCCGCAGTGCACGGGACAGCCCCACAACAAACAGTGATCCGGCCCCCAAAGAAACCCTTCCCTAGCCAATCCCGCAGGGCACGATGGGTGGGACCAGCATTCTGAAGCCACGTGCACCCAGGAAGCTGCCTTTCAGGTCATCTCGACTGTTTTCAGTTTAGTGTCTCTGTGTCTATGAGGGCAACCGTGCAGACCTTCTTTGGGTCAGCACCCCAGAGAGCGAACCTCCTGACATCTGTGGGCTGGGCGGTGGTGGGGGGCAGTGCCCAGAATGCTTGGCCTTAAGGATGGGGACCTGGGTGTGTGTGTGTTGGGGGCCTGTCAAACTGCTCCTTATACAAACCTAGAACAATCCTCCTGCTTCCAGCTCCATTTTGCGCTCCTGCCTTCCGTGGTCCCAGGTACCCGCCATTCCTGACCTTTCCTGAGCTGCGCCTGGCAAATAGATTTGCTTCTTACAGGTAGACAGGATTCTACTCTCTCTGGTCTAAGGCAATTACCCATCTGCTTTTCATCTTCCAGAATGTTGTCGCCAGCCCCCTCCTATCCTTCCTCCCCGTGCTCTGCCCTTATTCCTTTGCTGTCATTTCAGTCAGTTTGGGGAGGGAGCGGACATAACCACGTGTGTTGAGTCCATCATCTTAAACCAGGAGGAGGGTCCTTACGTGTGGAAAACTAGATTTCCTTCAAAGCTTTGCATGTGTCTGGGCCTCTGAGGACCACAAAGTGCCGCCGGGCGACGACTCGTCTGTCTGAGTCTTTAAGGCGGGAACTGAGGGATGTGCCACATAGGAGGTAGGAGACCTGGATCTCACCAAGCCTCAGTTTCCCTGGGTGTACAAGTATGACCTCAGCCTGTGGGAAAAGCAAAATGAGGGGGTGGATGTGGATGAGCAGAGAACGTTGTAAAGGGCCCGGTTTATTACCATCATCCTCATGGTTGTATGTCACCTTCGTCTGCACTAAATGCGTGATCGAGGTGGGTCTGTCACTTGGCACAACGATAGAACGTGGCTCTCTGGTGACGGACCGAACCTAGCACGTGAGCGTTGAGTACCGACTGCCTCGTTCTCTTGCCAGAGGCCTCCAGTTTGGTTGGCAGAGTGGCGACCAGCTGGCCAATTGGACGGGGCTCTTTAATGTCACGGACGACCCAGGAGTGCAGAGCGGCAGTGACTCCAGCAGCTCCAGGTACAGACCCCGGCGAATGACCAGGGAGGGAGGAAGCCCATCCTGGGGTGACCCTGCAGCCCTTGCCCCGTGGCTCACTCCCAGAGCTGCCCTCAGGGAAGAAGCAGGCTCCCCATAGTGGCTCAGAACTTACTGCATTTTGGGATCCCACTTATCTCCTTTGACATGAGAGGTGAGGGCTGGGACCCAGCCACAACAAAGTAGGGACTCACTGACCCCTCTCTGTGGGAGGTGGGGGTTGAGGGAGGCAGGGAGTCTGGGTCTCAAGCCTCCATTTGAGGTAGGGGCATTAGCTCCATTCCTACTGTAGGGATTTCGGATCTCAGCCCGCAAGTGTGTGTAGGTGTGGGGGGGGCGGGTAGCATCGGGGGTGGGCGGCATCGGAGGTGGGTGGCATGGGGGGCGGGTGTTGGGCGTGGGCTCCCTGCTCCTCTGCAATCCCACTGCTCAGGCAGCTCCTACTCTGCCCACAGGCAAGGCTTACTTTGGCTGGGAAGAACCGTTTCCAAGAGATTTGACTTTCGTACAATCATGTGGTTGTTTCTTCTTGGTCTGCTATAGTGTTTGGAGCTAAAATCAGTAATTAAGGACACTTTATATGTTCAGGAGTAGGAGTTCAGTAAATATTTGTTGAATGAACGAAAATGGACTATTCTCAGACAAGGACAGTCATTGCTGGGAGGGCATTGTGGGGGACTTTTGGGGCAAGGCAGGATGTTCTGTCTGCTTGGAGCTGGGTGTGGCCAGATGGGTTCCAAAAACTGGTTCCTTAATTTTTGCTTTTCTAAATATGAGCTAACTCTCAGATCTATTTCCTTGGGAAAGAGGCCCAAGTTTTCATTGCTGTTAGTTTTGACACCAAAACATTAAATTGATCCCACAGAGGAGAAGTAAACGTGTTTTTCAGGGTCCACCAATACGTGTGATTTTGTTCAATGCTTTGAAAAAGAAAAGATGTGGCTCCCATGTCAGAAACCCAGACAGGCCTTGGAGTGTTGGGGGAGGCCTCAGGGGTCAGGGTCTTATTCTGGCCTTTTAAAAGCATAGTTCTTTCCATCCATGTGCGGTGGAAACCCTGGCCAGCCGTGTGGCCCCTGGGGTGTCACCCAGGGAGAGTGTGGAGTCCAAATCTGTCTGTTCCATATGTTGAGCCTCCTATGTTGGCCCTTTTGCCAAGTGACCCGCCCACCCAGATGGGGGGTGGTCTAGGTAACTGAGAGGTTTTGGCCAGGAAATGCTAATCAACTAAGCAAGACTGAACAGGCCCCTGGGAGGCCATTTCTGGGCAGGCAACCCTGGCCTGAGACCACTGCACAAGTTCCATTTCTAACTGTTTCTACTGCCAGCAGCTTTTCTCTTTCCTCTCTCTTTCCACAATTTTGTCTCTAATTTCTCTGCCTCTCTCGCCCCACCTCTTCTCTCCCTTTCTTCCTGCCACCCTTTCTTGGTCTACTTTTCTTTCTCTGTCCCCAGTTCTGGCCTCTCTCCTCCACTTCCCTCCCTCCTCCTCCCTCTCTTGTCTCCCTTCCCTTTATTTTCCCTTCCTCTCTCCCTCTCTCAGTGATTCAGGCCAGCCTCCCCTTCCCCCGACAGGTCAGCAGGGGTCCGTCGTGGGCAGAGACACTGCTGGCCTCTGTCAGTTTGGTTTGGGAATTAAGGCAGCCTTTGTTCAACGCCATCACCAGCTGAGTTGATTTCCTTCTGGGGAGCCGCCATTTGACCAAGAACTCCCTTAGTCCCAGAAAAAAAGGTGATGACCACACATCTCACGTTTTTCTGGGACAGTTCGAATTTTAGATCCCAATTTCTGGTTGGCCCCAAAAGTACCCATATACGTGAGGAACCACAATGTGTGTAGTTCCCACATGTGGGAAATAATGGTTAATGTAGTTAGAACTGACCCGTATGTTGGAGATTTTTCACCTCGGCCTTCTTTAGGTGGGACGGCTCCTGGCAGCAGATTTACAGGACTTGGGGGAGGGTGTAACAAGGATGCCACGGAAAGTGCTCTGCAGAGTGAAAGTCACCATCCCAGTGAACACCTCTCTGTGCCTGGAATACGCGACGAGCTTCGGGGTGTTGCTCACCTGCTGGATGATTCAGCATGGGGCATGTTTTGCTATCTATAGTTGTGGGGTGTGTTGGAGTGTGGTACAACCTGTTATCATTTATTGTTAACAGCATTGGAAGGGAAATCAGGAGGGGCCATATATAACCAGAGGATAAAGAGGGGCAATAAAAGCAAATGACTCAAATTGTCTACTCAACCCGGAGCCACAAGGAGAAGGAGCAGGTCCAAATGATAGGTCTGGAAAACTCCAAACAGGACCGCAAAGGAAACCCGGGCCAGACCGTGCTCATAAAGGCTGTGGTCAGGTCTTCTCGTTGGATGTGAGCTGGGGGAAGTCCAGGCCAAGTTGGAAAATGTGTGTGTTACAAAATATGCATGGACATATAGCTTTGTTAATTTCAAGTCTGGGTCTAAAAATGTTGTCCAATAAGCATCCTCAAGGGAACTGCTTTAATGAGCAGATAGGAATAATTTTAAATCAGCTTCTACTTAAGTGGGTGCTTTGAACAAACAGGAAGTGGTAGTAGTGTGGCACGAAGTAGGTGCTCAGTAAATGTTAACTGAATAAAAGAATGAATTAAGCAGGGACATAGTAAAGGCTATTGGTAAGAAAGCAAAGGTCAGTGTCCCTGAATTTCCCCTTAGAGATTTATTCCTTTGGATTAAGCCTTGTCCTCTCTTGGCACTGTCCTTGGAAATTAATCCCCAGAAAGGGGAAACACTTTGGAATCATAAACTCGTTCACAGTTTGGAATGATCACAGAATTCTCTCTTGAGAAGAGCAGGTAGCAGGGTGGTCTGAGAGTTCTGGGTAGAAGAGTGGGAAAAGGGAGACTGAAGAGCGGGGAGGGGGTGGATAAGAAGTAGAGAGAAGGCAGTGGAGGCAGATTATGTACTTCTGTAATAACCGACTGACTGCAAACCCTCCCCACAGAGCCTCGCAGTTCTGGGCAGGGTAGATGGGGAGGGGAGGGAGGGAGAACACTTGTCCTCTGTGGCCAGCTCAGTGCTCGACCCCTCTGGCCTGGCCCAGCCGCCTGCCCGCCCAGTGACCACAGTGGGGCAGTGGGGCTGTGGGGGTCAGCACCACCCTTGGTGGTCTTGATCCTGCGGGTGGGCAGTGCTGCGTTCACGGCCTCACGATGTCCCAGGGAAAGGTACCCCGGTCACAGGGGCTGAGGGCAGCTGAGGCAGGAGTCCCCAGGCACCGACCCTCAGCCTAGCCCTCAGCCACAGCACGAAGGGCTTCACTCAGCTTCTGCCAGCTGGATCCTGCTCCGCGTCCAAGTCCTTGTCCTCCTGCCAGTATCCACCTCCCACCCCACCTCCTCCTTGAAGCTTTCCCTGATAGCCCCTTTAACTCTCTGTTCTGTAGGAAGTGTCTGGCCAAAGCCTCTTTCTGTCTTTACACACAGAGAACTCTCCAACAAGTGCACATAAACCTTTCTGTGGTTTGCTCAGGTATTCCTCAAATCTCAAGCCCTGGGCTGGACCACCCGTGCATGCATCTTCAGGGTCCTCCAGACCCTCTAGCTTCAGACACAGCCCACATGTGGCCTGGCTGGCTGACCTCATTGGCCCCGTGTCTGAGGCTCTGCACAGCCTTGGCCCTCCCAGTCTGGGATGGGATGGCAAGAGGTGGTGTGCAAAGACACTCAGCTATCTAGAGCAGAGCTGGCCCAGGCTGCCACCCACCTGAACTACTTGTTCCTGGGACGGCATTCTCCCTGTGCTGCTGGGCTCCAGGTTGGGGTGCAGGGGACTTTCCGGGTGGGAGGGTGGCAGCAGCCACAGGAGAAAGAGCAAGCCCCTCGCTGATGACACAGGAGCTTCTTGGCTGCACAGAAGAGTGAGCTGAGTGAGCGTGGAGGGCCTGGGCCAGAGCCCTTCTCTCTGGCTGAGATCTGTGTGTGCGTCTAGTGTGCACTGTGCAAGATGGGGTTTGGAATCATCATAGTGCAGAGCTGGAAGGAACTTGACTGAATTCAATTTAGCACTTTATTATGCTGTATTGAATTGTTCCCTAATTGTTTCAAGACAGTGTATAATTAGGTAATAAATCGTGTGATACAGATGGCAAGTGCTTGCAGAGCTCAGTGTAGGAGTCAGAGGCACTTCCGTGGAGGGGCGAGACTTGGCTGGGATCTCGATGCGCGATGCCCATGGCTGAGCGCTCTTGGGGGCTGACTGTGTGCCAGGCACTCTGCTGGGCACCTGACGTGTATTGCTGCATTTAATCCTCACCCTCAAGCCTTGGAGGTGGCTGCTGTCGTTGCCCCCATTATACAGACAAGGACACTGAGTCACCACTTCCAGCTGGTGAGGGGTGGAGCTGGAACACACCCCATTCAGTGTGATTCTGGAGTCCCAGCACGAATGGGCTGTGCTGGACAGAAGGATTCCTGCTGGGCTGTGGACAGATCATCCGGGGTTAGGTTGGGTGTCCTCAGCTTCCCCTCCCACGTCCTCTCGTGCCATCTATTCCTGCCCTCTGCTCCTGGCTGTGAGGCCATAATAACATGGCCGTATTGATTTAAGTAGGTAATTAGGTGCATATTCCAGGCAAGATGGTCTCTTCTCTCCCCCTCTCCTATCTCTTGCCCACTTTTTATCTTCTGTGTCCCCCCCTCAGCCCCAGTGTTTAGGGCCTTCCTGATTGTGATCCCTGAGAAAAGCTTCCTTCCACCTGCTCCTGGGGATTCTGCGTTTCCAAGAGGAGCCCGGGGGCAAGGTAACCCCAAGGGCCAGACTTTGCCATGGTGGACGTTGAGGTGTGGTGACAGCTGCTGAGGGCCGGGGTGGCAGTGGGTCTGCACGCCTGCCTTGTGTGTGTGGGCTGGCTTAGCATAAACCTTCTGGTCACTGTTCACTTCTGCAGAAAAGGACAAAAAAAAAAGGGGATGAAGCTCTTGGGCTCCTTCCAGCTGGG